GGGGAGGGTCATCGTCAACCGAGCGCCTGCAGGAAAGTCAAAGGCAAAATGTTACAACCCTCTTCCCGCCCGAATCTTATCCCTTCCAGCGCGGTCATTTTCTTTTGAAAACCCGCCCATACTGCCGTGCTAAGGAAGAACGCCGTATGAACATTCGAGAGCTGCCAAATTTCCTTCGGTAAAATGTTTATTTTTGAGGAAAGTTAAGAATATTTTTCCTTGAAATTCTTAGGAATTTAAGGTGAAATTACGAACAAAATTATCTGAAAAATTGGAAGAAAAATATTCAAAAGTTTACCGGGAGATTCTTGTTTTATCGAAGGAAATTTGACAACGCCTGAAGGTTCATACGGCGTTTTTCCTTAGCACGGCAGCATACCTGCAAGAACGCCGTAAATCCATCAAGATTTTCCCTCGTTTTTTGGAGCTTAACACTTCATAAAATATAAAGTGTTTTACCCATGTACCTCAAATTATCAGGAACGGCTCTTGATAGTATTTGCGAAAGAATTCTGTAAAAACGTTGTCCCAAGGCACACAAATTTTTCTGCTATGATACATTGTTCCCAGAAAATTTAAAATGGCATTTACGGTGTTTTTGCGTTGCACGGCAGTGTAAGGCTATGTCATTGTGGATTGATCGCTATAACTGCCCTTGTTAAGGAAAAACACCGTGAGAGCTTCCAGGCGTTGCCGTTCCTCTAGCAAATCACTAATTTTCGGGAAAATTTTTGAATATTTGTCTGCCAATTTCTCAGATAATTTCGTTAGTGATTTCAAGGAAAAATTTCATCCCGGCTGCCGAATTTAGAAAAAACTACTATCATTTCGGAACACTATGCTGAGTTTTTTACACTACTTAAATCCTTTAAAGTTTCGGTGAATTAACTATGGATTACGAAGACTTTCCTCCCATTCATTTGAGCACTGCTTAGTTTTCTGTTTAAAAAATTAAAAATCCGATAAGATCAGGAACTGCGCCTAATGTAGTTAGGCTTAATTTTGGCTCAATCCGTCGGAATAGTTCTGATCTCAACGGCTCGTACATTTCCCTTCCAATAATTCAAATTCGACGAAAAATAGTTGGAATGCGAAAATAAGGCTAATGGGCCTGTTGCATGCAAGAGATACAGCCGTGCGAATAGACTTTTTAGAGGTTAAATGACACGAAAATTACGATGGTCACATTAAAAAAGTCTGAAATACACTCCTTACTGCGCAATTTGTGTTGTTAGGAACGCGTTTTTTCAAATTTCCCGCGTCTGGGGGCAGTTTTCTAACGGAAACAATTAACGGCAACTCGCTGCTATTTCCGGTCAACTAAAACTGACAACATAACCTAAAAATCGGAGCTCGTGACACCGTGAAATGAAATGTAGAAGGATTGCGTTGGATATTTAAAAGTTGATCGATTTGGTTACCGCATAAAGCGTATATGGACCACTGTAGGAGATCACGTTGGGTTTGTAAACAAACTGAAGGAAAAAACAACAACAACAACAACAACGACTCGGCATCTTCCGGAAATCACCGAGCCCGCCGTTTGCTCGTTTCCGGTGATTAGAAAACTGCCCCCAGACGCGGGAAATTTGAAAAAGCGCAAAAAGCGCGTTCCTAACAACGCAAATTGCGCAGTAAGGAGTGTATTTCAGACTTTTTTAATGTGACCATCGTAATTTTCGTGTCATTTAACCTTTAAAAAGTCTATTCGCGCGGTTGTATCTCTTGCATGCAACAGGCCCATTATCTTAATTTAACGTTTGGTCTCATAATGCCGTGCTAGGGGAAAACGCCGTATGAACATTCGAGACTTGCCAAATTTCCTCGGATAAAACACGCATTTTTGTGGAAAGTTATTCATATTTTTCCTTGAAATTCTCTGATCACTTAGATTAAATTGCGTACAAAATTTTCCAAAAATTTAGAGGAACAATATTCACACATTTTCTTAAAAATTCGTATTTTATCTAAAGAAATTTGGCAACGCCTGAAGGTTGATACGACGATTTTCTTGGCACCAAGCAACAGCTTCGTGATAAAGTGTATGCTAAACGTTACTAATTACGGATGCTAGGACTTAGTGAGTTTTTGGACTACCGCTCTCTTTTTGGACCGTAGTATCTTGATTTATTTTGCGAGGAAAGCTCCGTACTTTTGAAGGATGCCTGCCATTCCTAATATGTTGGAGCGCCTTCAATTTCGTATGATACTGTGCAATACCTCTGGTGTGAAATAGTTGCTTCAAGCGCCGCGATACGCTGCGGCGCGGCGAGGCGGGCGGGCAGCCAGCGCGAAACGCGCATTGACGCCTACAAACCTAACAGGGATACTTCACGCATTGCGCAATGAGTGAAGTATATCTGTTAGGTTTGTAGGCGCCAGTGCGCCGCCGCGCCGCTCCGCTTTGTGTTAGGCTCTAATATTTAATCTCGTGGAGTCAGCGTTTTTCAACTCATGACTTTGAAATGTTTGCACACTCTGTATATGTATGGATTATTCTCATTTTAATTGATGAAAAAAAATATGTAGGTAGTAAAGGAAAATATAATGTGCGTTTTGTAAATATTAAGGTAATTCCGTGCAAACTTTAGGATTTACAGAGCACATGAATTTCTACACAATTTCTTATAGCCATTTATAGCCGATGGCAAAAAAGCAACAGCCAGGCGATTAAGTGTAAAGCCCGACGATAGGAACTATAGCCCGGCTGTATAATTTTTTATCGCTTCGTGTAGCCCGGTCGTATGATTTTTTCCACTTTCTACAGCCAGCTATATGATTTTCTATTGCCTTCTTCAGTCGGCTATCAGAACTCCTATGGTATTTTGAAACGCAGCTCCTATCGCCATTTTTTACCAGGGACTGAACACTTACTCTTCTCAGTTGAGACTTTATGACACTCTTTGCTGAACTGGAAGTAATCATAGGTATAGTTAACGTTGGCAAAACATAGAGAAGCGATGAGTTGGAGAGGACTGCGTTGAGCTCGGACAGACTCGGCCGCAGGGACCTCCTTGTCGTGGCTTGGGGAGCTTTAAATCAGCCGCCGCGCAGCGCGGACGTGGTCCGCTACCGCAAGCAAGGGGGGTGGAAGGGGATAGTGGCTGCATTAGCTAATAATAATAGTCATATACCTCTGGGAGGCAGAAAGGTAGAAACGAGACCGAGGAAATCCTTCATCGTGGAACTTTTGACTAGACGTTAGTGCGGTTAGGTTAGATTAAGTTGGGGTAGGTTACATTCGGTTGATTTGGGGTAACTTAAGTTAGGAGAGGAACTGCGCTTTCATGGACGTAATTATTCCGTCTTAAATTATTTTGTAGACGGTTCATTTTAGTGAGTGCGTGAAGTATCCCCTTACGTTTGTAGGCGTTAGTGCCCGTTTCGCGCCGGTATAGCATGCCGCTCCGCTCTGTGTTTGGCTCTAATATTAAAAATCGCGGAGTCAGCGTTTTTCAGCTCATGATTTTGAAATTTTTGCACACTTCGCATAGATTTTCCTCATTTAAATCGATGAAAAAAAATATACATTTATGTATTATTAAAGGAAAATATAAAATGTGTTTTGTAAATATTAAGGTGGTTCCGTGTCAAATTTAATGATCCCCAAAGCACTTTAATTATTTCTTTTATATTTTGTGCTTTTACTGTGCTGCAGCTTGTGTACGCGCAACCGAACGCTTAAAATTGAACGTATTTGACTCTAAAAGATCGATGTACGTACGGGTTAAAACTACGGGTACGGGGTTGCGTGCTTCTTGGTTTTTCCCCTTTTTTATTCATTTTTGTGTAGTTTTTTTCAACACAGCTCTTATTTTACGCGTGGACGTAAACTACTAGACAAAATAGGTGCGCGGACAAAAAATCGTTGACGGAATGTCATGAAACCGCCACTGATAGTGAAATAAAGTGAGTAATATCACACATGCTGTTACATTTCTATTGGACCTGATAGAATCGAACCAAAATCTGAGGAAGATTCTGACCTGATGGATAGACGATGACTGTTGGTTTTTTGCTGTGCGGCAGTGCAACGGGATTGGGCAGAGTAGGCACGGTCGCCACGAGAGCAATGACAGCCACCGGCTCATCCTCTGTTGAATTCATCACACTTCCTGAAAAGAAAAGCACTTGTTACAGACTGATCTACTGCAAGAGTGAAAACAAGATTCAGAATAACAAATCATACATAGAGGTTTTTGAAAACACACCGATTTGTGCGGTAGCTTAGGACTCTGAAAATCTTTCACATAGAGTCGCATTAGAGATCGGAAGACAAAAAGGAGAAGAGAGGGAGGAGGAAATGAGAAGATGAAGAGAAAGAGGGTGAATGAGAAGATGGAAGAGAAGGAACATAGGTGAATGAAGGAAAAGAAGAAGAAGAAGCGGTAGAGAAAGAGAAGGGAACAAGGAAAAGAACAAGAAAAGAGGGAGAAGAAGAGGAATAATAAGAGGAAGAATAGGAGAAAGAGGAGAAGAAACAGACCGAAAATAAGAGATTCTTCTTTTCCCTTATCCCCTACTAATTTTCTTCTTCTTGTTTTTCTCCTTCTTCTCGTTCTCCTCCTTCTCCTCCTACTTCTTCCTCCTATATTTATCTTCCTTTTCTAAGCGACCATTACGAGGAATATAATCAAAGTTTCTTGCCATCCTACGAAAGTCAATAGCTAATAACGTGTAGTTGGTTTGGAACGGCACTTGTTTTGACTCTCCGATTCTACTCATTACAACGTTCCCACTCCTATTCCTTTTTGTTTCAAGGGAAACACAAAGACTTACTTGAATGAAAGTCTTAGATGATATGCTTCAGCTACCTCCGAAAAATCAGGATTTGTCTATTGTTTTGTCTATCAATTTCAATAATCATCCCGCTCTGCGCACTGACTCTGACTCTGGACTCTGATTCCCCGACGCGGCGTTTCGGAACGTAACGGTGAGGTGTAATTTATGAACGACCCCGTAGGCCCCCAGCCCCAGCCTGTGTATTGCCCGAGATTAAACCCCGAGCAATGACCTAAAAGCAACATGAAATCGTAAACTCGTGAATTATTCGAGAGGCGCCTTTTCTTCCCAATCTGCGCACCGGCCGCGTTCCTGGGCGGCACGTTCTGCTCATGCACAGGGTGTCCTTAAATTCCATGATACACCTTAACGACTGTGTCTCTCATAAGGGATGATAGGTGTGCTGCGTTGCCCCCATTATCATCAATATTATGAAACTACGAGTACAAAGGCATATTTTGTTTGCAGTGTTTCAGAATATCGCCCCTTCCTCATTTTTGAGGAAAAGTTTACAAGACATTTTGTATACGACTTATGCAGAGATAATTTTTGAAGAGGCGAAGTTAACTATCGCACAGACTTTCGTCCTAAGATGATATCCGACCCCTCTGTTACACATCAGAATGTAGCTGAGAATCTGTCAAGGTGCAAATTAAAAAACGTGGTTCCATAGTTTCATCATCTATGAGCTTTGGGTCTCCTTAAATTTGTTATTTTTTGCCCGGAGAGATCTTTTTGAAGCATTTGCTATTGCAATGTCGAAAATCCGGGGACTACGCGGGCTTCCAAATGTTTAAAAAAAGCTCTTTCAATGGAAGTTTCCGTAGAATCGCTTGGTAGCAAGATGCGTTCGCTCTCAATTGGATCGAGTTAATCAGAAATGAACCAACCCACATTTTGGAGAAAATTGAGTCATGAGTGGTTTTGAACTCAACCACTGCTCTACTATCTATCGCCAAAAATTCAAAGTTTTTGTTGGAGCAAATGAACTTGATGTTCATCTTTTACATTGAGTCTTATGCAGGAGCAAAACTTTAAACCTCTTTTTCTCCGTTCGATCCCGATGTGGCTTGGTTCTTTTCTATTTAACGCGGTCCAATTAATAGTTTCCCGTCGAAAACTCGATTCTAAATTGGCAGTTACGTCTTCTCGTTCAGTGTTCACCTCTTCTTTATATGCGTACTTGGGCAAGGAAGAGGGGGGGGGGGTTATTGGGTACTTTTTCCCCCTTCGAAGAGTTACGAGCAGAGGTCATCCTGATCGAGGTATGGTCATCCTGTGGCACATAGTGGATCGAGTCACAAGGAGAGGTCGGACAAAATTTGGATTTTTAAACGCTTGAAACTCCGTCTATACAAAACCGAGGGTTTTAGAGTGGTTTCATTGGTTTGCCCGTGAAATTTCCCTTAAGAGGCACCCCTTGAAATTGAAAATGTGGCGAAATAAATATCAAAATGGACCACTAGACAAGTTACGAATTTAAGCATTCCGACACATGATACTTGACCAAAACTGTTCGTAGAACAAGATTCGCGCAACAAAAATTACTGAAACTAACTCCTAACAAAGATATTAACGTTTTTATTCTACATTGGTTACGGGAAATTTGAACCGCCCGGGCCCGCTCACAAGAGGCTCAAGTCTCTACATGAGTCAAATCGCTCACTATAACGGTTTGTATGTAGAAACATATCGTCACCTTCCAGGCAAAGTATCACAAGCGCCATGCGACGTTTAAAAATTTCCGCCGCCATTTTATTTTTTTACTGAGAAATTATTGGTTGAATCTGTTTGGAAATTTCACTAAATTTTATCGGCAGCACAGAGAAAATTCAGTGAAATTTTCGGACAGCTTCGTTGAACAATTTCTCTGTAAAAAAATATGATGGCGGCGGAAATTTTTAAACGTCGCATGGCGCTTGTGATACTTTGCCTGGAAGGTGACGATGTATCTGCGTGCTTAAATTCGTACCTAGTATAGTGGTCCATTTGCCGTTTTAGTCAAAAATTTCATGTCTGACCCCTCTAATTGACTCGATCCACCGTGCGGCATGCCTTTTCCGTCACAGTGAAAATACACCCTGTAGGCCGGGGCACGGTGGCAAAGGGCGAAGGGACATGAATAATCGGGCCGGAGCCACGCGTAGCGTCGAGCCGGGATCATGACGGCGGTAAAAAAGTCACCGGGCCCGGTGAGCCGGCTCTGGGGTAGCGGGGGTGGGGATTGTCCCTATCCCCCCTCCCTTCCCGCCCTTCGGGTCCCGGTCAGTCGGAAATCCGATTAGTCATGAGGCAATTCCCGGCGATCGTCGGCGAAACCGATTCCAGACGCCGCCGTAGCAACTCCCCCGTGCGCCCCCCCCCCCTCCGAAGGTGGATAATTCGCGGATCCCTCGCCCGAGCACGGATCATCATCGGCCGTCCGCGTCCAACATCCAGCGCTATCGCCCAACCCGATGTATCATTCCTCAGTCCGATGATTTCAAGTCTTGAGTTTTGCAGGTGTAATACTGCCGTGCCAAGTTAAAACACCGTGCGAGCATGCCAATGTTGCCAAATTTCTTCTTAGAAAATAGTAAATTTTGAAAAGAGTTATGAATATTCGGATTGCATTTTGCAAAAAGGAACCACTAGCATTGCAATGTTGCCGAGATTGTGCAACTTCTTTTGTCTTGGAGGAAAAACCCGATTATCCCTTAATAGTTTCTATTTTACTCGCTAAAAACTGTAAATTTAAGACAAAAATTAGGTACCATCTAAACTTCATAGTTTTTCACGATTTCCGCAATTTTATTGCAAAGGATCAAGTTGCACAATCTTAGCGTCATTGCAATGCTAGTGGTTCCTTTTTGCAGAATGCGATCCATTTGTCGTTGAATTTTCAGACTTTTTAGATCACGTCACGATCGAAGTCCTCTGGAAAATAGGAGAGGGAATATTCGCAAATTCTCCTGAAAATTCGTGATCTGTCGAAGGAAAGTTGGCAACGCCTGGTGGCTCATACGGCTTGCTTGCTGACCACGGGAGAATAGGACTGTGTACATTTTGCAATAAGAAACTACCGTTTTTTACCCATCCATGAAAGCACCTATCTGCAAAGGGGAAATCAAAAAGGGAGATGAGGAGGAGGAAGATGAGAGGAAAGAAGCAGGACAAAAATAACAGAAAATGAGGAAGGAGATGAAGAGACAAAAGGTTAGAAGGTTTAGGAACTCGAGGAATAATAGGAAAAGGAAGAGAGAGGAGAGGTAAAACTGGAGGATGAAACAAGAGAAAGCATAATTGAAAAAACAGAAAAGGAAGAGGAGGGTGGACTTAACATCGATCGTCCGACTGTCAAATCAATCTCGAAAGTACTGATGTACCGCCTTTTAGTTTATAAATCGTATTCGATACGTCAAACAGGCGAGTTTGTTATCGATATCAATTTATTGGAGAAACATATAAAAGTAGCCTCAAAATTCAATTGTGTAATCTGAGAGAACGGATTCATTGTGATAGATTTTTCATTTTTATGAGTATAAAATGGCAATGAAAAGTGAAATCGTTAGAAATTTTCTTATTTTCAGCTTTTCCTCCTCATATCCTAAAATAGTTGTCTGGGGTTATGTTCCATTGTTTTGGATTAAACGATGCATCGAACCACCATCGAACACAATCTATTGATAAATGATTTGTTCTTGCATGAATTCGTTTATAAACCTATTGATTGTGTAAAGAGAAACGTATTGAAAAAACTCAAAAAAGAACTGAAAAAGAGAAAAATAAAATGGAAAAAAGGAGGGAGACGATATAGATTTGGACGTATTTAGGTTAAAAGGAACTATGTTGCACACAAACCCTATGCTTATAGTTCCTTTTAGCATGAATATATCAATTTGATTAGATTTCAGGAGCGTGTCGTGGTGATTTTCCTAAAACCAACGCTGAATATTCGCCTCCACGAGAGCAGGTAAAACAATGCTCCGAACACAGCTTCGAACACTGCGTTTCCTCGAGTTAATCCAGCTGCAGTGGTCGTATTCCCGCTTCGCTAATTCGGTCTCGGCGACCGAGTGCGGAAGCATCCACTGCGCTGCCCGGATGAAGATTGGCTGGCGGCGGTAGGTACTTGCAAGACGGGTCGGGTCGTATTGTTATCGTCTGCGAGGTTAGCAGCGCAGCGACCAAACAAAGTAATAGCATTAGCAACGGCAGGAGGCAAGAGGTACGTGGCGAGAATCCAGTTAAATCGGCCCCGAATTGGGTTAACGCCGATTATATGAGAGCGCATGAGTGCGAAATAAATTTTGTTTGAAGGCTTCCTCTCTTTGGACCACGCTCGCCTTGTAAC